ATTACTTTACTAGTACGCGTACATCTTATTATAAATATGAATGTGATTTGATGTAGCAATTGACTGAATTGACTGAAAAAAATCCATATGCATTGAATTAGAATCCACCAGAATCCACATAATATATCAAAAAATTTTGTAAAAATGGATCAACACGCATTTTGTTATGTTAATTTTTTTTTTAAACCAACGTATTATAGCCCAAAGGACGCCATAAAAAACAACTTGATTTTCCAGGTTAAAATATGCTATTTTTCAAAATATGATACTTACAATAAAACGTAAATATAGTTTAAACCACCTTTTTTTTGCTAGCAAAACTTATATTATTTTATTGCATACTTTTAGGAAGTGAAAAATATTGTATTATTGTACAGATATTTTTTGGAAATGATATTTTTCACTATAATCGCAATTTTACTCCGGAAGAAAAATAGTCTACAATTTTTGGCTTTTTTTATCTCATAATTTTAACCGATTGTTAAAATTATTGAACAATATTGTTATTAAATCAACCGTATCTATATTTCAATATATAGCTCTATAGGTATAATCTAAGAATAATTTAACAAAACGATCAAAAACTATAACTCATCATTTTAAGTATTTTCTTTAATTACTTCAATATCATATTAAGCGTTACACTGTATTTCTCTTCTACATACTGTTTTCGGTTTTTCTCTAACACACACGGATATCTAATATTAAATTAAAAAGAAATATTTGCTTAGTAACGTTATAAGCATTAAGATACATTCTTACATACCTATTCATTTCTTATACTTACGAATTATAAGAAAAACACAATAATTTGATTGGCGGATGGTTAAGCGCAAAAAAAAATGTGTCATTACTAGTCATAAGCAAAATATAGAAAAAAAAAATAAAATGCCAATTCATGCAGCTTAAATAAATTCGTGATTTTAATCCACAAAAATAAAGAAAAGAAAATTGTAAAAAAAAAAGAAAGTATTTGCGGCAATGATGGCGAATTTTTCGGTTATCTTTACATTTTCTTATACATTTTTGTTTTTTTTTCTTAATATGTTATTCGTATGTGAGCAAATTTTATAATTTTCAACCGTGTTGGTATTATTTTTTTCTACTCTTTAATGTTACTTTAATCAAAATAAAAGTTACTCAGAAAAATCAGAGAATAACAATTTCAGATCACCAACATTAATGTAAATTCGCAACTTAATACGGTGCTAAGGACCACATATGAAACAAAAAGATTCTAGATTTGATACTTGTAGGTAAATGTAAATAGTGTAAAAGCTATCGCTAAAGGAACCAATTAGGATAAACTAAAGAATAGGTATTTTTATTAAAGAATTCTGGTACAAATATGAAATTGTCAACACCACGTAACTATATTGGACAAGGCATAATGCAGCATGTGCTACATGTTTATGTAAATGAGAGGATATATTTTATTGAATACCGCAAAATTTAACACATCCTATTCATAATATACATGAAAATACAATCACGTTTTTATCACATATTATTAGAAAGCAGAAAATACACTAGAAATGTAGTTTTTGTCTGTTCATGAAAAAATTTTTATGAATATTCGATTCCTCCAGAAGTAGTATTTTCAAAAAACAAACTAAAATTTTCGTTGTGACTTAATGTAACTATATAAAAAAAACTAACTAAATTATGTTAAAATTTTAGATACCAAATTCAATGTAGTTGAGTTCATTCAGTGTTAGCTTTGTAAGACAATTTGATTAGCTTTTTTTTTGTAACTTTGCAACAAATTCAAGATTTATTGGTAGATTAAAGTTTTAGTCGTGCAGAAAATTAAAGTATAAAACATTTGAATTTTCTTCTACGATAAATTTTGCAGTATTTTGTTTTTATACACGTTTCCTCTTCCTTTTCTTTTCGCCACCTGTTCATTTTTTATTACCATAATTCTTACACATTCTTTTTCACATTGTAAAAAATTAAAACTTTCACTTCACATAGATATCTCCAAATATTGATTTATTATAAAAACGATTCTCATTTAGTTATGTATATTGTTGAAGAAAAAATCTAGACCAAATTATACTAAGTGCGGCCGAGTTTCACAATTTGTATTTTGGAAGTTTTTAATATAATTTGATTTAAATATGTTTTCATCTGTTTTAACTATGCTATATGCGTTTATTGTAATTAGTAATAATTTTGTTAGTTTTGACTTCATTTAATTGTCTCTGAACTTCTTTTATTTTAAATGAATTTTAATCGACAGTTTTTCGCTTAAAGTAGACCACAAAAATATTTCGAGTAATTTAAAATATTTATTGAACTGTACATGAGATTTAACGGAGAATCCTCATATTAAAGATAATTGTAAATTAAATAATTGTAATATATTAAATAACTTAACAATTTTCATTAAAAATTATAAGTACGCTATATTTATGTAGGCTACCGAGTCATACATGATAAAGTCAAATATAATATTATATACTCTCTTATAAGTGAATTTAATAATTTTTTTTTTACCCTATAATTAGATTACACTTGTTTTTTTTAATAAATTTTTATACTAACATGCAAATGTATGTCCTACCAAAAGCGATATTCAAGAAATTTGTATGCATGTATATGTGTAAGATATTTCTTACTCCTTAAGAAAACCTACGGAAATTCAGCAGCAGCAATAAAAGAAAAAATTCATTTAAGTTTGCTTGGTTTGAAATTAATCCGACTGTATGAAGGTTAATATTTGTGTTTTGAATATTAATTATTAATGGGATAAGTTACTTTTTTACGGTACGGCATTTGGTTTTTGCGTAACGAACAAATATTAGATGTAAAATTTAGGTATACGTGCACATAGAACGACTAAATTTTTGTTTTAATCACTTTAAAAAAATTTTTATTTTCCTTTCAAATTTTGTTTTGTTTTTTTTCAGTTTAAAGTACAAAATTAAATAAGTACAATTTAAAAAGTCTTTTATGAATATTCAATATAATATAAAACATGAGTGTGTGTGTGTGTATATAAGTGTTCATATTATATAAGAAAATTTTATATTTTGTTTTTTTGAAATTAAACCAAAACACGCATCACAACAAGGATCAGAAGGATAAAAACAAATTTTCACTTTTGCAAATAAGATTAATTACACTAAATGTCAATCATTCTTGTATTCTAACATTTTCAGGAGAAATGGTTGTAATGACGGAATAATTAAATTTTTTCGTTAATTACATTCTCATTTTTTCTTCCATTTGGTTTGTGTACACTTTCTTTCGGTATTTTTGTTTTATGAAAATTTTTTCTGCTCAAATTTTTATTTGTAGTTGCTATTGTTTTCTATTTTTTGTTTTTTGGGGTCGAGCTAATTACAAAACAAAATACAATTATATATCTACACATAATATATTTGTGTACACATACGTACTTGAACAATAATATTTTTCTATTTGGAAATTTGTTGAAACGTGTGCTTTTGACATTTATAAGTACTATTGTTATTGTTATTGCTAACATATACATATGTATGTATATAACATACAAATATGTATTACACATTACTCATTTGTATGTTCTATAATTTCAATTATAATATAGTGAAGTGATTACAAGTGTTTTTTAATGTTCAAAAACATATGCGATAAAATAAACACATGTATAAACACATACAATATATATACCATTGTTATACTATTAGCAAATTGAGAACTAAATGCAAAACGTATCGTCAATAACAAAAATTATAATAAAAGAAGAAAGTCAAATGAAAATTTTCTTTTTATTCGCTTTTCCTGGAAAATAACTGAAAAAAATTAACTAGCAAAAGTGTATATGTAGCTAAAAGAGAAAGGATTAAAGTTATAATATTAACCTATTAAAAGTTATTGTCCTATCTATTGGACGAAAATATTTATGGCATTTCAATTACAAGTTTTAAGGAACAATATTTTTCTTATGAAGTCTGGCAGTATTATTCATGATTTAATAGCCATTTTAATTATGATTGCAGTAAAACGGCCTTAAGAATTTTACCAATTTGTTTTTTGAAAATTCTTACTTCCATTTCGAAAATATAGTAAATTTAAAAAGTATTAATTAAAGCTGAGAGAATATTCTCTTAATCATAGAAAACATGAATAAATTCAGTGATTATAAATTAAAACTATGCATACTGTAGATTTTAATTAAAATTCTAAAAGTTTTTATCAAAATGACTCATTTAAAGAAACTACTATAATTATTGACTTAGAGAGGCATTGTCACAGTTGCAATATAAGTAACATCTTTCTGAGCAATTATAGTTTCTGATCTAGGTAGTTTAGGAAGAAATCGTTTACATTTATTATAAACTGACAGTAACTTTCGAAAAGAAATAATAGTTATTTTTAAAAAATGCATCCAAGTCATCTTTTGAGTTTTAAAGGGTTAATATACTTTATATTTTAAATTATGTATATTTACGCACGAACGTTAAATATACGAATGGAAATTACAAATTGAAAACATTGCCAACAAATCTACATGTGAGCAAAGAATCTGTACAATGATTTCCGAAGCACTCATCAAAAAGTTTATTAATGTTTAAGAAACAATTTTTAATTTTCCTTAGTTAAGGTTGCTGTATGTCATTCCTCTACTATTCTAGAGCAATATGAATATAAAAACGTACTACGCAGGCTACTGATTTTTAGATATCCTTTTAAATAAGTGTCACTTAATGTGTCTGCAAGTCACTTTTGTTTAAGTATTACAAACGTTTTTAAAGCTTTTCGATATTCTTCTTAAGATTATTGTTTAAAAATATGGACGTTGTAAAACTATTAAGAACGCTTGCTTTTTCTTCTAACAAAAACTGCAAAATTTAACAAAAAACTTTTAAATTTTGTATATAAAGCTACTCTAAAAATAATTTTATAAATAAATAAATGGCGCTCGATTTTGATGCAGTTGATTAAAATATTCATAAACAAATCACATTATTTATGAATGTTTTTCTACCTACACATGATTTTATTATTACTTTTCTTTTACAGTTGCGTTGTCCTGAATTTTTTGCTACATGTTTAATGTTATGCGATGTTTTCAACGATATTATTAAATGAAACCCAAATTTTATTTTTATTATAAGTAAAATATTTTCAATTCGAAAGATTCGGTGATATTTACCTGAAAATAAAAAGAAGAAATAGTTAGTGACGAGCCTTAAATATCTAATCTTAATTGGAAAGATTTTGTAAGCAATTTTAATAAGTAAAAATTTTTTAAACTTTAAAGATTATTGTTAAATTCGCATGCATAATATTTCAATAAGTGAGAGGTGCTTTAATTTTTAAAGTGTGAAAGTCATAAGATTTTTGAGATGCAAATGAATGAAATACTATAAAGAATGTCAAATAGATTTGTTTTTTCAAAAGTAGTGAAATTGTGTAAGTTTAGTATTTTACCAATAATACTACGGCATTTCTATAGCTGATAATCGCGGTACTAATATCAAAACACATACATATATTATAAAAAACGTAATTACTTTTTTTTAAACTAAATTGTAATCAACAATTTAACAACAAATTTATTTATTACAATAATATTTAATGTACGCTTATTTTATACAAGTACTGTACAAACAATGCTTTGAATAATAGAGTTGTCGCTGATAAATTCCGTTAATAAACCAATAATATAAAATAAATTATTTTTATAAACCAGTTTTTGTAAAAAGCAGGAAAAGCTTACAGTTTTGAAAACTAAAGTGCTAGAAGTTCAAGCTTATACAATTTTTTACGATGATGATTTAGAAAGGGAAAGAAAAAAAACAGGTGGGCTGAATATAACCGACCGCAATGTACATTGTGTAGTTTAGCGAAAGTGTTGGGGACAGTTATGAAAACGTCCTTTAAGCATTTCTTTGCAATTTAATGAACACAGGTGAAGTTTTAGTCAACACTCTTAAAAAAACGTATATTTGACTTTTAGTAGAGTTTTGCTTTGTGTCATCTGAAATTCCTGAAAATTTCGCCAAGATGGACATATTTAAACTTGTTCTAAGTTTGTGAATTTTCAAAATGATTGTGATTTCAATACAAGAAATGCAGAAAGATGGAACTTTTAGGATTTTTAAGTGTTATAACTTTTGAAAAAAAAAGTTTGTGAATAAAATTTCAGCTTTATGTCTTAGGCGGGCAGATTAAATAGAATTAATGAGCAGATTTTTTTTCCTGCTTCTTTATTTTATTCTGCGTTGGCAATATTATTTGAATTCATTCTGTTTATGGACCTCCAACTTTTCATACATAAACATTTTTTCAAACATAAGAAAAATACTTTTACTAAATAGCAAATTTTACATAAAAATATCAATAAAAAAAAATCATTTTGTTTTACTATAACTGATTTTAGTTCAAATGCCTCTCGAGTCAACAAAAAAAAACAAACCATTAACTCCCTCTACTTTATAATTTATTATCAGTATTAAACCGTTAGACCTTGTTAATGAAACAGTAAAATAATTATCACAATAACCATTTTACAATGAAAATAGAAAACTAAGAATATCATTAACCTCATTCAATGCGCCATTCGATAATTTCATTAAATCACCAGAAAAAGATTTGCGTGTTTTAAGGACATTTACGGGACAACAATAATAAAAATAAACAAAACAATACTATAATATTCACAAATATAAGCATAATTTTTTTTTTACTAAAATGTGAAACTAAAAAGAAAAATCCGACAGGATAATGGGTAATTCCTTTTCTGAGTTCATGATCCCTAAAATAGAAATCTAATTTTATTTTGATTATTTTTTTTTCCAACTCTAACTAAATTAATACATTGTTAAATATAATAAAAATTACAATTGTTTTCTTTTTTGGTGGAATATAATGGGAAAAAACATAATTAAAATACAATTTAACAAAACGTTAGATTGAAAAGCTTTTTAGAGTGGAATGCCTACATTTACACAATTAAAATGTAAAATATACACAATATCATAAATGTTATACAATTAGACATTGTAAAATGGTAATTATGGTTATATTATGCTTATATTTTAAAATTGCAAAAAATTAAGTGTAAGTACTATCATAATGAGAGAACACTGATTTAATTAACAGGGACTTTAAATATGAAAAAATTAATGCATATACTTTCAAATACATTCTGAATTGCTTATTTAAATTTTTGTTGGAAGTAAATGTGTACAAATGCTTAAATATGGATGGTATAGACATTTTTATTGTTTCTGCTTTTCGAAGATTTAAGGACGGAAGATAGAATTTTTGTTACGCCAATTTGTATAGTTTGCAAAACAGTTCGTTCTATGTATCAAAAAATATTTTGAATGAAACTAAGTTTTTTAACTAAAATTTGTATATTGTGCTATAACTAAATGGTTTATCAGTACAAATTTGGGTTTATTTAAAACGTGTCCTTAACCTTCTATAATTTAAAAAAAAAAATCAATAAAAGGCCTTTTTATAAGTATTAATTTTAATATGCTTTTTCATTAGGTATTTAGAATTTTTTTTTCGGGTTTATTCTACAAATGAATACATTAAAAATTTATTTGAACTCTTTTTATAGGAAAAACTCTTTTCTTGGTAATTTTCTCAAAGGAATACTTAAGTAATTATAATGAAGTCATCAAAAATAATCTTCTATCCTTTTTTTTGCCGTTTTCGCAAAAAAATAAAAATATCATTAAATTTAAAATGACAAATTTCATAATTTCGATCTATTAATTGTGGCCCTACTAAATCCTGGAAAATTTTTCTAGAATAAAAGAAACCAGAATGAAATAGAAGCTAAAAAAATATCTTTGAACTTATCATCTATTCTACTTTCATCAAATTGACCTTTTTCGTTAACAGTTTCTATTTGATTCAGGTGAGTTTAGGTGAGAAGAAGAATTCGTAAAAATTTTTTTTTAATACTAAAAAAGTGGAAAGTTTATAAAAGAAAAATATCAACCCCTTTGAAAATAAAAAATAGAAAAGGAAATATAAAAGGATTGGTTCGATTTTGGCTATGTATTGTTAACCAATTTTGTATTTTCTATAAATATTGTAGATACCTCAATTTACTGACTTATCGTCGGTGGCATGCTATTTTATTCCATAAACTCATAAATAATTTTAAGTAGATTGCAGTCATTTTCAAAAATTGAAGTTTTTCAAGAATTGACGTGCATTTTGATTGAAAGTAATTTAGATTCTATAATAACGTGACATGAAGAAAATTTTGATTTTTTTTATTATATAAAATATTAATCACATTTAAGTAACTCAAATCAAATTCATAAACGTATAAGTTAGATAAGCCGAGAGATAGGTATTCGACGGTTTAGTTCCACTTCTGTAGTACACAGAAATTATTTCCCAAAAACAAGAAAACAGTAAATCCGTAACATGCTCCTGTAAAGTTAACAAGAAAAATGTTCTTAACAATATTTTTGGTACTTTAGGTATTCGATTCGGCACTTTAAGAACCTTCGAATTTCGATGCACGGGAGTGATTTAAATTATCTGTATGCACAGGTTATGATCTGTTACATTGCTTTTTTTTTTCTAATTCGCTAATGGAAGGAGCATAGAGCTGGTACACGATATTACGCAATTAAGTTTACTAGGGTAGGTGACGAGCCTACCGTTAGATTGCTTAATTAACTAAAATTCATAAGATGAAGTAAAAATCAATAATTGATTAAGCCTAAATTGAAAACATTTCTCTTTCTTTTGTGTTTAAAAAGAATGCATTTACAATACAATAATAGAACCACAAAATCACAAGATTGCAATAAACTTACAAAAGTGAGCTTTCTAACTTGTTTCAAATTAACAAACGAAAACAATTCTGAATATTTAAGCGCATTTATTTCAAATTTTTAATCTATAATCTTTTATATTCGAAGAATTCAATCCTTCATTCTAGCTTTGTTCTTCTATTTTTCTTAATTTTTTAAACATTTAGAAAAAACTTCCATAAAAAATTTTGTCTTATTAAGAGAAAAAAAAAATTCTATAAAGTGAATAAAATTTGATTGTCATCTTTCACTTAAAAACTTTTTTCTTTTTTTTTTTAATATTTTATGTTTCGAAAGCAAATATTTAATATGAAAACAAAAACAGAAAGAAAAAGTAAAGCAGACAGCCCCTTAATTTTACTTTACATTAAACTAATTGAACATCTTACAGAATGAAAGAAACTTCAAAGCGACATATTAAATTCAATTAGGAATTTTTCAAATCATTTTCTAGAACAAAGTTTTTAGGAAAAATTTGAAAATTTTTTTTTCTTTCTTATTTTCATTTCTAAATTTTCTTTTAGATTGAAATTTTTCATGACATTATACACATCGCAATTCTTTTATATATGTATGTATATGTATATGTACATTTTTTTAATCCTTCAAACTCACAACACAAAAAAAAAAAATAAATGTTATAATTTCCTTTTAAATAAAATTCTAAACACAATATACAAACACCTACACATATACGCATAACCGCATATTTTAAGCAGAAAAAAAAATTTCGCGTATTCAAATGAAATTGTAAATTTTGACACCTTTCTATTTTATAACAGCTTTCCTAACAGCTTATACAACTCATATTTATTCCGCCTATTTTATTCCAATATTTTTCTTCATAATCTCCTCAGCTAACTTCCTTTACACCTTCATTTTTAACATTTAAATTTCCGTTATTTCTTTTTTAACTTTTACTTTTATTTTACTCAAATAATGCGTATGTCGTTTCCTAACGACGAAATACGAACCGAAAAGGAGAAAATTTCTGTTTTCTTTTCTTTTTCATTTTTGAAACTTTTTTGTTTTTTTTTTTTTTTTTGAGGTTGCCAACAATTTCCATTTGGGTAACGATTTCTAAAAGAAAAATGATTTATAAAGAAATTTAAGGTAAAACTTCCTGTTACTATTACCTAGCAACTAAATTCTGTACCAATTTATTAATTTCATTTAATATCTTTGGCCCATTAGAGTGAAGATCAACTGTTATTCTCACATGAAATTTCCAGGC